ATTAGTACCAACAGTTAGGATTGCAGGTAAATCTCCCATTCTTTCTTCTTTTTTTTTTAAGATTGAATTAAGGTAATTCCTACAGCTTCAAGTGGTACCTCAAATATACTTAAGGATTGACAAGATCCGTTCATCTTGTTTCAAACAAAGGTTTTGAATTGTATCAATCCTCATTTTTCAAGTGCACTCACGACAAAGGCTAGTCCTATCTCACACATATTTGAAACATTTGATTATAGGACATTTTCAAAATGCATTCACACTCACAAGAATGTTCAATGCACACAACTGTGATACCATATGCTTGACCCTTATGTAGATCTCCACTAATGTGAAAACATTTGGAATGAGATCATGTAGGGCTTGTCATTGGCTTGTAACGTAGACTTAGGGATGGGTAGGATATTTATTTGAGATAAAAGTGACTGAATTCCTCCTTGAGCGTCACACAGAATTTGTGCTCTTAATGATTGGTACGCCTTAGGCGTTCGATCCTCTTCATTATTCTCTGCCCTCTCAAATTCTTTTGAACTCTCATTTTTAACACTTTTCCCTTCCCTTTTTTTTGAGCTTCTTTCCTCTTCTTTTTTCTTCTTCTTTTGAGTCCTTATTCTTTGGAGCTTTTCTTTTATTCACTTCTTCATTATAATAATTTTCCTTTTTGTTGGAATATTTTCCTTCCAACCTTTCACTGATCCTATAAAAGAATTTTTTGCCTTTCTTTATTTCTTCCACTTTTTTTTCTTTTTTTTCTAGAGTCTTTGCTTCCTTGATTTCGAGAGACTCAATATCTTTTATTTTTGAAATTTCAAACATTGATCTCCTTTTATAATTTGCACATTCTTTGTGCACTCAAGAAGGTTGGGCCAAGAGAGGATAGTGCTCGTAAGCACTCAAAAGGGTAGTGGTTAAGATGTGGTTGTCCAAATGAAGGTTTCAGGCTCAAATGGGAAAGCTAGGGATTAATGTAATTTGGTAGGCTTTGAAAGGCACAATCGGGTCAAAAAGGCCTACAATCCTTTCTCAAACCAAATATTACTCATGATTTCGCCTCGAAAAACATTCAGGTCAAGTTCTAGATCAACAGTGTAACACAATTGAACTTTGATCAAAATCTCACCACACAATGCATATGAAACATAAGGTTAGTTTTATTCTTATCTTGATTGAATGCAAGAGAATTTTCAAGCATCACAAAAGTACAGATAAGAGGTACCGCAAGAATCTATGGTTTACCGCAAAGTCAGTCTTTTCCATCATATCGAATATATTTACATGCTCTTAACCATATAGGTCTCGACCGAGTTGAAGACATGACTCTAACAGTATGTACAAACAATTTTTTTTTGAAGAATGATTACCGAACCCGAGAAAGGCTGCCTACGTATCTCATTAACATGAGAATCAAGTACGCGTAGTTCGTGCAAATATAACTTTAAAAATATGCACAAACTATTTTATAATTTTTTTTTTGAAAAAGATAATACCGAACCCAAGAAGGGTTGCCTACGTATCTCACCGAAATGAGAATCAGGTACGTGTAGTTCGAGCAGATATGACTGGGAAAATATGCTAAAACAATTTTTATAAAATCTTTTCTTTTGAGAATATTATACCGAACCCAAGAAGGGTTGCCTACGTATCTCACCGAAATGAGAATCAGGTACGCGTAGTTCATCCATATATAACTTTGAAAATATGCACAAACTCTTTATTATTATTATTATTATTATTATTTTATTTTTTATTTTTTATTTTTTTGAAAAGATAATACCGAACTCAAGAAGGGTTGCCTACGTATCTCATTAAAATGAGAATCAGGTACGCGTAGTTCGTGCAGATATGAGTGGGAAAATATGCACAAACGATTTTTAATTTTTTTTGAGAAGATTAAACCGAACCCAAGAAGGGTTGCCTACGTATCTCACCGAAATGAGAATTAGGTACGCGTAGTTCGTGCATATATAACATATAATAATTTAAAGATTTAGACAACTCAAAGAAATTCCTAGGTCTAACGCCACTGAAATTTGTAGTCATGAAGTTTTTTTTTTTTTGATTTTTCACCAATATATTTTATAGCCTCTTAATCGTCAATATTTATACTGTCTGTTGAATGTACCCTGCGAATTTCTACAGTAACGATTTGTTGTACTCTTTTTGGATGTTTTCTTGAATCTTTGTCTCCTTCCAATTTTCACGAGATCCAGACATTGTTATGACCATCCCCGACTGATGTCGGGGACGGTATCCCTACAAAAATATGAGATATATGTGAGAGGAGAACCGGCATGCAAAATAATAATAAAAATAAGTAGATGCGACCTCATAGTCAAATACTCCCCTAATTTATCGTTTTGACTTGATATGATTGAGAAATGCAAGGACTCTAATTTCGCTAATCCTCTTGTCTCTTGCAACTTTGGTCAAGTAATGGTTTCTGAATTCGAACATAAATAAATTTTCGCTGTGAAGAAGAACAACTCAAAATGTAAAAGTGTTAGTTCCTGAACATAATGGATAATACAAAATATTACACAAAAAATGAATTAAACACATAAACACAGTTTTAATTAAAGATAAACTGAAACATATCACATAGCATACAAACAATTATTGCGCGTCCTATACAAATATGTGACCCTTTTATGCCTAGGGTAGGCCTATTGATTTGAAAAATGTATACGTCATTTGAGATATTTCATTGCCACAAAACTCAAATTTATACAAATTTTATGAATAAAACTTAATGGGGATACATAATAGGGGAAATGTATACAAATTAATCAGTCTCACACATGGGTACGACCCTAAACTATGCCTCCGCGAAATATCCTTTTGCTTTCTTGATTTGTTGGCATATCCGGGTGCTAAGATCTTCGAATAGGCTTGCAGCTGATGAAGCTCTTTCTTTAACCTAAACAAACTATAATCTAATATTTATCCTATGAGACAATGATTTTCTCAAACAACGTATACATCCTTCAAATTTAAACACATAAGTATGAACGTCCATTTAAGTCGTGGGCCGTTTTGGACTCAAGGTGGTCTTCTAATAGACCCAACACGCCTTGGGTATTGGGTCATCTTAGTATAAATGCGCTATTTTTGGGATTTTGCTCGGCTCTACACTAGTTTACTATGAGTGAGTTGTATTTATAGAGGAAAAGGTAACCCAAGCGGACTACTTGAGCTGAGACAGTTAAAGATCGTTGACTATCAATTAGCCAACTACACTCGTCAGGGTGTCCCGAGAAAGTCTTTGGTTAATGAACGATTGCGAACCCGCATAATCGTCCTTTAGTGGAAATGAAATAAATGTCGTTTGACGGAAAATATTATGCCATGAATGCAATGATAATATACATACTACAAGATAAACAGTGAATAAATACAATATAAAAATAATCAGCGAAATATCAAAATACAAGATATAACATAATAATAAAGCAAAAATTTCCTCAATTTGAAAAAATAAATAAATTCGTATTGGTTAAAACCTCTAAAACTCCCCAGCGGAGTCGCCATTATGTTTACATCCCTACTCTTTCCGAATAGGTCGAAACGTCGCGGCAACTCGAAAATAATTAATTGTTCAATTTTAACAAAGTTTTAAAAATAAACGAGTTTTAAAAAAGAGTCGCCACCTAATTTTAGAAAAACTAGGAAACCAATTATTTATCTACGGAACCAAATTGATTCTAGGTAAGGGGTTAGGCACCCTTCGGAACCCACAAATGTGGTTCCCAACTGAATTCATTTTTTTTCAAATTGAGGAAGAATATAAAATAATGTACAAGTATAATAAACATTTAATATACACAATAAAATAAAATAAAATAATAATCATCGGCCTAAGGTTTGCCTAACGTCAATATTTGCAATATAATGAAATACAAGGAGAAGGACCTTCGGGTACCTGTAAACACACTTAGTAAAAGTGTTAGTAAAGAATAAATATGATTAAAATTGAATAAACCAAATAATAACTAAAAATAAAAACCCGTCTTATTAACATGGGAAACCTTGGAATCGTTTCTTCATCGGCCAATTTAACAAGTAAAATTAAATTAAAATTCCGTCTTTTAAAATGGAAAGGCCTCCAAAACCGACGGAGAGTTTTTTCATTGGCCAACTTCAACATATAAAACATATAAACTTGAATTAAAATTCCGTCTTTTTAAAATGGGGAGGCCTCTAAACCCGACGGATAGATTTTTCATCGGCCCTTCAACAAATATATTTAATATAACGTGAACATCAACAAACATAACAAACTTATTCCAAGAGAATATGAAAAACAACAATCAAACTAAAACAACATAATTAGAAATGGAAATAACAATAACGTAATATATAAAAATTAAAAATAACATTAAAATAGAATAATAACAAAACCCTGAAAAGTTAAGATAACAAATAGTTGACTAACAATTTTAAAATAATAATAATAATAAATAAATAAACATCAAACCGTAAAATAATGCTAATATCAAAACTACAATAAACACAAATATTAATCGACTTTTAGAACTACATTAAACTAAAAAACAAAACAAGCTACATATAATAAACAGAAAACATAAAAAAGCTGGGAATTAAATAAAACAAAGCTAAAAAAAAAAATTTACCTGGTCTTGGGCGGCGAACCGAAACTACGAGTTTGAAGGAGACGACTCCACCTCTTCAACTCGAAAAACCATAAAAACACTTTAAACTTTTTGAACTATGGGAACCAAGAATTCTCAAAATTTTATGAGTATTCTTTTTTTCCCCTCCAACTCCTTCTCTAAAATATTGAATGAAGTGGGTTTATATAGAAACCCAAAAATCCTCAAAAAGGGTAAACTACCAATGTGGGACTATTGTAAAATTGAAAATTGTTTGAGTGACAATGTGGGAAAGGTAATTTTTTTTTTTGTATTTCACTCTAAATGTATGAATTTTAAAATCATCGGACCAAAATTTGCTATTAAATAAATAAAGCTCCAAAATCACGAATTTTTAAAATGTTAGGCCAAAATTGGGTGTCAACAGTACTCTCTAAGGAGCATTTTAGAGTTCAGAACAAGTTGCCGACTAAGTTGAAAGATTAGGATAGTTTCACTATTCAAATCAATATCGTCAAGTGCATCAATACAAGAGGATTGTGCTATTTGGGTGCAAGTATAAACTTGATGCCTACGTTTGTGTTTCTAAAATTGTGGCTAGGAGAGCCCAAGACTAGTACCATAATGTTGGAATTAGCTGACCGTTTGGTAGCAAGGTCGGACGGTGGCATTGAGGATGTCTGAGTCCAAATGGGAACTCTGATTTTACTAGTATACTTTGTCTCCTTAGATTTTGAGCCTGACTCAGAGATCCATTTTATTTTAGGATGCCCATTCTTATTTACTAGTGGTGCATTGATTGATGTGGCGGATGATAGGATGACAATAAGTCTCATGAAAAAGTAGAGGCTATGATGTGTAAAAGGTAAAAAAGTTGTCTGTGATCTATGAGCATTTGTCCACAATCACGATCATTGATGAAGAAGAAACAACAAAGTAAGTTGAAGCACGATACCTTTAGAGAGTGTTGATTGGGTAGGATAGAGATGGGGATTCTAAAGCCAGGAGCTGGCTCGTATACTAGATGTCTCAAATTTGAGTATGTTGCGTAATATTGTGGAACCATTTAATATCTTGGGACCCCCAACCAAGCCGTAAATTGAGGAAGCACTGAAGTTGGAGTTCAGAGATCTTCCCTCTCATATAAGGTACATGTTCTTTAATACTAATGACATGTTACCCTTAATCCTTTCGACTACTTTGTCTGAAGAGCAGGTTGAAGCCTTTCTGAAAGTAATGAAAAAGAGAAAAAAAGCGCTAGACCCGCATATGGCTGACAAACATGGGATCAACCCAGACTTGTGTATACAAAAGATATTCATGGAGGAGGGTAATAAATTGAGTTTACAGCCACAATTCATATAGAATGCAGTTATGGAAGATGTGGTACACAAGAAGGTTATTAACAGGTTAGAAGCAGAGATTGTGTACCCTATCTTTGATAACAAGTGAGTCATCGCGGATATAATTCACATAATTCATTTAGGTTTACATAGGTTAACTCTTGATCAAGAATAAATGTCGAAACAAATGGGAATACGTTTTCATCCCACTGATACGAAGCTAATCAACTATCTGAAGAGGTTTTTCAAAGGCGAATTATCTTTGAATCAAGAATGTCCTATCTTGTTTGCGGATATATATGGAGATCAACCACCATGGGAGATATTTGGAGCTAATTTTGAAGTGAAATATCGTTACTTTATTACTCCTTTGAAGAAGCGGAGGATTAAAGATACAAGGTTTTCTCGAACTTGTGCTAAAGGGATGTGGAAAGGGCAAACCGGAGAAGAACTTATAAGGAGGAATAGTTTGGGGCCTGTGGTAGGGTTTAAGAGAAAGTGCAGGTTTGAAACAAGTGATCAATGTGGCCATAATAATATTTGGTTGATAATAGAATATCAAGTTGCAGATAGTTTCTTTAAGAAAAATAATCATATTATTAAAGAAGATTTTGTAGTGTGTCGAATCAAGAAGAAGAAGATCATGGATAAAGAGAAGAATGTGGATCATGCTATAGAGGCACAAGATGGAGATGTTGCGGGAATTATCAATCCTATGTTAATTGAGCCTAATCATAATAACGTCTACTCCACATGGAAAGATCTAGTTGGGGTTTTTGATGAAGTTGAGGCTACAACTACCAAATTTGAGTCGAAATACAATGGAGAAGAGAGAGACAGCGTTGCAAGTACAAGAAGGCAACGGAGTTGATGATATTAGAAGCAATGAATTTTAGGAAGAGATGTGTAAAGTATTTGAGGACATTCCTTTTGATATTCCTGACGAGGTGTTGCAGAATTCACACATTCTACAAGATATATAAATACCTATATAGTTCGATCCTTAGATGGATTATGTAGTTGAAAAAATTGTATATTCTTCACTTTTGCCCATATATATAAATGCCCATGTTCTGATTAAAAAAAAGTGAGTCATCACGGTTCAGAGTGTGCCTAAGAAAGGAGGCATGGAATGAATCACAAATAAAAAAAATGAGTTCATTTCAACCAGGACTGTAAGGCACATATTCATGGATTAGATCAAACTAAATGAGGCCACCGGAAAGGACCACTACCCCATTTCTTTCATTGATCAAATGTTGGACATGTTATGTAGGCATTGTTTCATGGATGACTATTCGGGATATAATAAAATTGTGATTTAAGGTAGAAGACTTGGAGAAAACCACTTTCACTTATCCGTATGGGACATATGCCTTCAAGTGCATGTCATTTGTACTGTGCAATGCCCCACACACATTCCAAAAAAGCATGATGTAATTTTTTCATGATATGGTCAAAGATTTTGTTGAGATATTCATGATAACTCCTTAGTCTTTGGATAGTCTTTTGACACGAGTCTGGAAATAAATTGAACAAGGTTCTTGCCTGATGTGAGGATACCAATCTCGTCTTAAATTGTGAAAAATTCAATTTTATAGTGAAGGATGGGATTGTACTAGACAATAAGGTGTCAAAGAAAAGGCTGGAAGTTGATTGTATAAGAGTAGAGGTAATTGAAAAGCTACCCCCAGTCTTTATTAGAAGGGTGAGTAGCTTACAAGGATTTCTCTAAGACTACAAGATTTATGTGCATTCTATTAGAGAAGGAGGTGAAATTCGTCTTTGATGAGCAGTGCATTTGAGCTTTTGAGGCTTTGAAGAAGAATTTGGTAGGAGCACCAATTTTGATTTCCCCAAATTGGGATATTCCTTTTGTGCCGACCTGTGACACAAGTGATGTGGTTGTAAGAGAAGTTTTAGGGAGAAATAAGGATGGAATATTTCACTAAATCTACTATACGAGCAAAACACTAGATGCAGCTAAAGACAACTACATACTGGATACTAGCCTTGGTCTGTGCCTTTGACAGGTTCAGATCTTACCTAGTAGGGACTACATTTGTTTACACTGACCATGCAATCATCATGTACCTATTTATTAAAATAATGCAAAATTGCAGCTGATTAGATGGATTTTGTTGGTTCAAGTTCGACATAGAGATCAAGGACCAAAAAGGATATGAAAATCAGATTGCAGATCATAATTCGGGGTTGGAGAGTTTGTCGCATATTGGTGAGAAAAGTAATATTTTGAAAGAGTTCATTGATGAACAAATATTTTCTTTAGAGGTGACTGAATTATTATGATGATGTTCACATATGAAATGAACCTTTTCTGTTCAAGAAGGACAAGGAAAATGGCGAGGAGGTGTACACTTGAGTATGAGATAAGACTAATGATGGATAGTTGTATGTCATCTGCATATGTTGGTAATCATGGAGGTGAGCTTATTGCGCATAAAGTGCTCCAATCAGGTTTTTTCCATCCTACTATTTTTCAAAGATGCTGCAGGTTATGTGAAACGTTGTGATCAATGACAGAGGATAGGAACTATTCTAAACGACATAAGATGTCATTGCACAACATCATGGAGGTCAAAATATTTGATGTCTAGGGGATTGATTTCATGAGACTATTTCCACCATCAAATGGTTATTAGTATATCCTTATGTGCGTGGATTATGTGTCAAAGTGGGTTAAGACAGTGGCTCTTCCTACAAATGATGCCAAAGTTGTGTTGAAGTTTTTGGGAAAAAAAGATCTTCACTCGGTTTAGGACTCCAAGAGAAATAATTAGTGACGGAGGGAAGCATTTCTTAAACCAATTAGCGAAGAATATCTTGGCTAAATATGGAGTCTATCACAAGGTGGCTTTATTTTTTCACCCTTAAATCGAATGCAGGTAGAAGTCTCAAGCCATGAGGTAAAATAAATTTTATAGAAAATGGTGAATGCTCAAAGGAATGATTGGGAGATAAAGCTAGATGATGCGCTATGGGCGTACATGACAGAGTATATGATACAATAGGGACTTTCCCCTATCACTTGGTGTTTGGTAAAGTGTTACACCTTTTAGCTATTTAGAAAATTAGGCGTATTGAGCAGTAAACAAGTTGAATATGGATTCGGAATTAAATGGGAGAAAACAGATTGGTCAGTTACTTGAATTGGAGGAGTTTAGAATCCCTGCATATGAGAATGTCAAACATTACAAGGAGAGGGCGAAGCGTTGTCATAATAAGCATATCATATCACGAGTCTTTGAGCCTCACCAAAAGGTATTGTTGTACAATTGTATATTGAGGTTGTTGCTAGGTAAACTGAAGTCAAATGGAGCGGACCATTTAATGTGGTGCGGATGACCAACGACGGAGTCGTGGAATTGTGGAACCAAGGCAAACAATCCACATTCGAGTGAATGGGAAAAAGGTGAAGCACTACTTCGGATAAGAGGTAGGCCATGGGAAAATGTTCTTGAGTTGAGCAATGAAGGATGGGGGAAGTTGAATCATGCGTGACATTAACTCAGGTGCTAATTGTGAGGCAACACATGACTTTGTACACTACTGAGATTTCCTTTGTACTTTATTTTGGTAGGTTAGTTCATTTTTATAGTTCTAGATTTGTTCGATTTATTTATCTATTTGTAGGTTGTAAAAAAGATTTTTGGAGAGAAAATCGAGGAAGGTAAATATCAAAAGTTAATCTTAATGCTGAACCAACGCTCAATCAACGTCCTCCGAAATTGAAGCACTAGAAAAACATGTTAGGCTAACCCAAGTTCATGAAGGATCCAGTCATAAAAAATATTGTCGCAAGTTATGTAGTAGATGAAAAGTTGCCACACTGTAGTGCCATTGCGAACAGATTACTAGTGCAAAATAAAGAGGATCCTTGAGCTGTCATAATTCCATATATGATTGGCACATTACATTTTTATGAATCCCAATATGACTTGGGTGCTAGCCTTAACTTGATGCCTCTACTATTGTTCCAAAAGATGGACCAAGGAGCCCCTTAATTGAATGAAATTTGGCTACTTATGACATATCGTACCATCAAGAAACCAAGTACCCATCATCTTAGGGAGACCATTTCTTGCAACCGAGCATGATTTAATTTATATGGAGAAAGGGATTATAAGTTTAGATTAAATAATATATGTAACACCTTAGAGATTGCAAAATTGACAGAAAAAGAAAAGTGAAGAGTTTTGGCACTATGGTAGTGACTACGAGTCCTATATATGGATTGTGGGAAGTCTTTCGAGTCGTATAAAGGAAGCCATAGAGTTGAGTTCAATTTTTGAAAAATCTATGTTTCTAAAGTTTGACCTACCGAGTAGCTAGGATGAAAGTTGGAGTTTGGACAAGCTGTAGATGTCACTTGAGAACTAAAAGCCAAACTTGGTGAAATTTTTGGACTTGAACTTGGGTTTTATGGACCCTGGATTGAATGATGGACCGCAGAATGGTTTCATGTGAAATACTATGAATTTTGGGTTTCTAAAGTTTGTTTTACAATTGACCAGTACGGATCATAGGTCTAAATGTAGAAGCCATTCATTAGTTAGTCTTAAGGGTATTTGGGTCTTTTCCTATGTATTTCATACCAATTATATGTCATTTTATTCTAATTGTAAGACCTATAAGTACCTTTCAACTCCTAATTCGACCCAAACCATTTTATTCTCTGAAACACCCAATTCCCATCCAAGTTCATTCCTTTCAAACTCTCTCAAACTTCAAGAAATAAATATGGGGTTCAAGATTCAAGTTTCCTCTTTCCTCCATTGCTTTTGGTTTGTTTATCAAGGTATGTGTGGGTACACCAATGAATTTTATTCATCTATTGGGTTTCAAAAGATCTCCAAGTTCCAATTCAATTTCAAGTAATTTTTTTCAAGGTTCATGCAATTTCCACGGGTCTTATTTGATTTTGAGTTAATTGTTCAATTTAGTTTTCCTATGCATGTTTAGGTTTAATTACACATCTTTAAATTGGTTTTATATAGGCCCTTGCATTATTCATGATTTTAAATATGAACTTATAAATATATGAATTTATAAACATATGAATAAGATATATGAATGTTGTGCATGATTAATGTTTTAAAGAATGTTTACGATCTAAGGTTTCTTTTCAGATAAGTATCAAACAAATTGTGAAGGGTTTTCTTACTTATTGAGAAATCATTATTTGGTAAAAGATTTTCTCATTCACAATTTAAGGAGCTACTATAAAATGACTATGTGATTTGGATCGGTGTATTGATTATTGCTAATCCTAATGTTCTGCTTTGATAATTAGTTTTGTCTATTCCATTGGGATTGAACTTAGCACTAAGTGAACTTCAGGTGGAGGCTCAAATAGGATAATCTCTAGTAGAAACCTCTAGTTTCAAACTACGTGCCCCCATAGGATTGCTTAAATGTCCTAGCCAGTGGATCCACATATAGCATATGAATGACTGATAAAAGGGCTAACCCATTGGTGACCACCTAAACTTGGAATCAATTTTGAGTTAAGACACTTTAACTAAGTTTTGTTCATTTTAGACATATCGTATCATGTTCAACTGTGTCATTTAAATACTTTTTCAACAATTTTCCAAATTTGTAAGCTGTACGTAACACACTTGCTGCTAATGTGTCAAAGTGACGAGTTAAATAACGATAGGTGGCATATATAGAAAAAACATTATTAAATTTTGATTTTTTAGTAGGAAAAAAAACTAGCAATGACTCATTGACATGTGACATTTATTTAATTAAATATTATTTTTTTAAAAAAATCAACCTCTTCTAATTTTAAAAAAATTATTCAAACTCCTCAACCCCAAATTATCTTCTCCATTATCCCACCCCACCTCAAACCCCAACTCCTCTCTCTCACCAAGATTTTCTTCTCGACCCACCACTACCTCCGACCCTCCCCCACTCAAACGTGTCAAAAGAAGAAGAGTTTTTGTTTGTTTTCATCACTTTGTGAATGTGGTGAGATAAGAACGTTTTTTTTGTGGTAGATTGATATTTAAATGTTTGATTTGGTGAATGTCGTAATGCATTTCTTTGACCTTATTTGGGGATTTTCTTTTATTTTTCTCTTCAGCTAAATTTCTGGATCATTGCAAATAAAAAATGGCCTAAGTCATCCACAACCACTTAAAGTATTTCTCATATTTCTCTTAAACACCTCAAGAAAGGGATATACCAAATGAACACTTAAACCTTAAAAAATTTATAACTATTTGACACAAACTGACGACCAGTTGAAGAATAAAAACATGTGTATCTCCAACGCGAATTCATGATATATTGATATGACGACATATGTCATTAAATTTGATTTTGTAAAGCTCTATTTAATAAATTCAAAAAGTATTTTTAAAATTTAAAAAATTAAAAAAAATTCTCTTTTTAATCAAATCCTTCGCACCCTTTTTAACCCCCACCCCCTTTTAGAATGACCAATTTCTAATTTGAGATTTCCCATGGAGCTGTCGTCGCCTCCACCTCCGTCTTCTCTTCCATTGGTATCAAAAGTACAATAATACATAATTCTTGTCCACTCATGCTACATACACATTCTCTTTCATTTCGATAGCATCAAAATCTTTCACTCATTCCCTTCATCTTCTATACATTACTAACTATTTATTAAAATTGGAAAAATAACAATAACAAACTTTTGTCCAAAAATATCTATTCTAATAAAACATCATGATAAATGGAATTTCTTTGAGATATTTGAGACATAAATCAACATAAGAAAAAAAAGAGAAAAGCAGGAAAAACTAAGAGAGGGTGAGAGAAAGAGAGGTGGAGGGTGTGTGGTGTGAGTGCGTGTGTAAAAAAGAAGAAGATAAAAATAGTGAAAGAATAATTGCAGAAAGGGGGAAGAAGACGACTAGTCCTTTTTTGGTTAATTAATTAATTTTTATTAATTCAAGGGTTTAAGTTAAGGGAAAAAAGAAAAAAATATTATTTTTAATAATTTAACGTGCTCAAAGAAAGTTGAATACACGTTTTTTGCTGTCTCAACATTTTGTGTTTAA